GTACCACTCTACCCCTGTTCTTAAATCCTTACTGGGGTGGGGACTATGCCAGGGGGCTTTGCCCTTGGACAAGGAGGGCTGTGGGAGGCAGAGATTGGGGGGGCACAGCTTATCTGGGTGTTGCAGAGTAGGAGACCTCTGGGACCCCCACATTCCATGGGATGCAGCCCATGGGATGCCAGGGCACAGCTTGCATGGGATGGTTATGCAAAGGGAGGATCTGTGGGGTGGCATCAGACTCCCTCCCCCAGTGCACCCCAATTGCAGGGGGGATTGGACACTTCTCCGATACCACTCTGTGGCTGCCTGGTATGGGGCAGAGCAGCTGGTCTTCTGGGAGGGAACTCGCACTTTGGGGCCTGTGAGAAGAGCGCGCTCTTGTGCAAGGGTGCGTGTGCAAGAGCATGCATACAAGAGTGTGCGTGCGAGGGGTCACGCGCAGATGAGGCAGCAGGAGTGGGGCTTGAGTGTCCCTGGAGGGGAGAGGGTCTTGTGAGTGCAGTGGGGGCTCCCAACCTCTTTCACACCCCTTCACCATACCCAGTGTCCCAGGCTAGCTCCAGGCCCAAGTCCTTGTGGTACCCTTTGCCTGTGGGGCTGAGGGGGGACTGCTGCACCCCCCCTGACACAAGGTGTGACCCGAGCAGGGTGGGGGTCCCCTGGTGGTAGGGGCTGCTGGCCTTGGGCACTTTCTCACGGGCAGATGGGGAGCCTGGGGCGGGCAAGGGCTGGATACAGGAGCTGAGCTCTACCTGTGCCCTCTGTCACCCCGGGGTGATCGAGGGTGAGGGCAGCAGGGGAAGGAGGTATCGGGGGTGCCCAGGGGTTTAGGTGCTGGGGATTTGGGCTGTCTGTCCATCTCCACCATCACTGCCTTTGACTACCTGCTTCCTTCTGCTCCAGCTCTGACACCTGACAATGCCACCGAGAATGGGCCAAGCCAGGTCGTTGTCCTCCCAGCACCCCAAGTTGCCCTGGGCAGAGCCCTGCTCTCAGCACCCGAGGTCTATGAGGAAGGGGCACCTGGGAGCCCCCTACCCAGCCAGGTATGCTGAGGGGTCAGGGCTAGGGGAGCTGTGTGGTGGTCAGAGGGGGCCCTGAGCTGCTGTCTCATTGCAGGCGGGGAGTTGGGGCAGGGAGGACGGGGTGATGCTTCCCCTGTGCCTGGTGTGGGAAAAACCAAGTCCTGGCACCATATGCACATCCACAGTCGTGAGCCCACATCACCCTGCCCCGTATCGTGCATCCATCACCTCTGTACCCTCCCTTCCATCACTCTGAGCCTGTCTGAGACTCATAGCATGAGGTCCCCACTCCCTAAAAAACCCCATCCCCTACACCCTTTTCTGCCCCTGGGCCACCCCCCAGCCCCTGCCCAGTGCCTTTGAACCACTCTCCTCCAGGCAAGCAGCCCTGCTGTTGTGCTGACTGCTAGAAATGCTTCTCCCACTCCAGCTCCTACACCACCCACCTGCACACCTCCTGGTGTCTCCTGGGACACCCTCCACCCTCTGGGACCCCCACCTAGCCCAGGATGGGACCCTTGCACTGGGATGCCTGGGGGTTTCTAAGGCTATATGACACAGGCACCAGCCACCACTCAGAGCCAGGGCTGCCCTGTCACACCAGCAGACCCCCCCTGGGCATCAGTGGGTCCCTCCCAGACCCTGATGAGCCTCTGGATCAGTCCCTGCCCAAAGCAGGGCTGGTGTCTCCCTGGGAGCCCCCCGGGATCCAGCTGTACCCCCCTGGGTTCTGTGCCTCCCAAGTCTCCTGTGTCTCCCCTTCTGCCTCTTCTTGCCTGGAGCTCTTGGGCCCCTGCCTGCCCTCCACCTCCTGCCTGCCCTGGACCAAGAACAGATCCAGTGGACGCTGCTGCCTGGGAACTGGGAGTTGCTGGTGCAACTGGTGAGCAGGAGTCTGGGGGACACACAGGGATGGGAAACTGGGAGACACAGGGAGGCCCTGGGAGGGATGGTGACCCTGATGGGGCATTTTGACAGCTCCCATAGACACTGACTGTTGCTTCCTGCAGGCAGGAGTCCTGGTGGTGGTGGCCACCTTGTGGTCTGCAGGGGCTGGTGGCGGCTGCAGCAGTGTGCAGGCACCCCAGGGCACTCCCCGGAGAGACACCCAGCCCTGGTATGGCCGGATTCTGCTCTGGCACTGGCTTTGCCAGCAGAGCCGGGGGCCTTTCCTGGGGGGGATCTGACGGCAACAGATATGTATTTAATGAATGGTGGAAATAAATCAGCACTGTAATGACCTTGGGGAGGTGTACGGGGCACGGCAGGGGGCAGAGAGAAGGGCATTTGGGGGCTGCCATATGCGTGGATGATGACGTTCTCTGGGGAGGCAGTGGGAGATGGGTGGCTCTTGGTGCCACAGATGCCCCCAACCCTGGTCAGAGCAGGAGGTACTGGTAGTCCCAGGGAAGGTGCCTGTTTACTGCAGAGTTGAAGGTACATGGGGCAGGGAGGACTGGGGGGGCAGGAAGGGGCACTGGCAGCCAGAGCACCCATACCTGACTTGGGGGGGCAGGGGACCAGGCTCAGGGGGGCGCAGGGAAGATGCGGTCAAAGTGTGCCAGCAGCAGCTCCACGGCCTTGTTCTGCTGGGCCATGCCCGCCGCCAGGCTGCCCGGCTCCCGCTCCGGCCGCAGCAGTGTTGGCCCAAACACGATGCCGATGTTCTGGCGTGTCATGCGGTTGACATCTACCCGCTCCATCACCCTGGGAATGTGCAGGGTTGGAGGGTGGTCCCATGCATGCCATCCGCCCAGGCCTCCCTCCATCACCCCAGGGGGTCCATGTGCCAGGGCTTCATCACTGGCATGCCCTGATCCTTCCCCCACCTCCCCGGCATACCAGGGCCACCCTATATGCCCCCCAGCTACCCCATACTACCCCATAGCCCATCCATCTGTGGGGCAGCTCTAAGCCCATTCCACAGCCACCCCCAGCCCAGGAGTGGCCCTCCCCTTACCGGCAGAGGTGAGCCAGGAGGTAGCGCAGGGTGGCATAGTTGACGGGGGGCAGGCTCTTCACCAGCTCAGCCACCCGCTCCACCTGCTCCTGGGGGTCTGGCAGCTCTGGGGGGGAAACACAGCAGTCAGACACAGTGGCTCCCCTGCCCCCCAACACCCATATCCTGGGGATGCCAATGGAGAGCACTGCAGGGGGGCACTTACTGATAGCTTCAATGAAAGGGTTGAAGAACTCGTAGGGCACTAGGGGCTCGGGCAGCTCCCGGAAAAAAAGCTTGAGGGCACCGGTCACCACGTGGACATCGCTCCACTCGGGGTCTGCCAGGCTGAGTCGCTCCTCTGGGAGGAACAGGGGAAGTCAGCTTGCGCCTGGGCCCCCCAAGGCCCCAGCACCGCCAGGGCCACCCCCTGCCCAGCCACCCCAGCTGACCTTGGCACAGCTGCTCAGGGAAGACATAGCGTCCGTCCGAGGTCACGGCTCGCTCTGTGGGGACAAAGGAGGGCTCACGGGGGGAGAAACCGCCTTCCCCTATCCGTGGGCATATGCTCCAACACAGTTCCCCTGTCCCCTCCCCAGCACCCCCATCCTGTGCCCCTCCAGTCTCCTCACCCCGGTCCACGGCAAAACGCAGCTTCTGGATCACAGACAGGTTCCCATTGACCCGGTAGATCCCGTCAACATCAAGGCCTGGGGACAATGACGGGGGCGAGACATGGTGGGGGAAGTCCGTGCCAGCTCGGGGGGGCATGCTGGCTTGCCGGCTGGGACGACCTTACCTCTCTCCTCAACGGCCTCCACACAGAGCCGGACGAAGCGGGGCACTGTGGTGCTCTCCCGCTGGCACAGGGCATCCAGGCGGCACCCGAACACCTGGTCTGGGAGAGGGCTGCGCTGGGGCAAACTGGGATGGGGGAGCACTGGGACTTGGTGGGGGGCAAATGGGACTGGGAGCAGGGTACAGGGACCAGGAGGGAATGCTGAGGACTGGGAGGGTGGTGGTGAGGGCAGGGACGGACACCAGGACTGGGAGAGGACACTGGGACCAGGAAGGGATACTGGACTGGAGGGAGACACTGGGACCGGTGGGTGCACAGAGACCGAGGGGGGGATTCTGGGACTCGGGGCAGGGGGTGGAGGAGAGACACTGGGATCAGGAGGGGGACAGGGACCAGGAAGGGATGCTGGGACTTGGGAGGGACACTGGGACCCATGGGTGCACAGGGACTCAGGGCAGGAACACTGGACGGTGGGGAGGCACTGGGACCCACTGGGGACAGGCAGCCAAGGCTCAACAGCTCTCAGGCACCCTCTTCCTCTCCCACTTTGGGGGCAGAGGGAGGCTGTGGGAGGGTTTGGGGAGGTCCCGAGGGTGTGGTGGGACTTAGCAGGAGGTCCCACAGCTGGGGAGTCCCACCTCGAATGAGCCCCTTCTCCTGCAGGCTCTGGAGCGGGGGCCGCTTGATGATGAAGCGCCTCAGCTTGCTCTTCACCCGCTTCTTCTCTGAGGCATCGGGGGTGTGGGGGGCACCTGGGGGCACAGTGGGCCCAGAGTGCGGTCATGGTCACAGTCACACCAGCCCCGAGGCCGGCTCCCCCCCTCGGCCCCCCAGCCCTACCTGGAGCCCTGGCCCCCTCAGTGACCCGCGGTGCCTCGTCCTCATCCCCGCTGAGCTCCCCCCCGGTGTCCCCGCGGTGCAGCCAACCCACAGGCACGTCCACAGGGTTCTCCAGGTCCTGTGGGAGGGTGGCACGGTGGTCAGCGATAGTTGGGGATGCCAACAGGGCTGGGGGCAGCCATGGAGCACTGCCTCCTCCCCCCCTCCAGGCACTCACCAGCCGGCGGATGACCCCCCGGATAGCCCGGGACCACTCCTGGATGGTGGCCTCTTGGTCCGACTGCAGCAGGAACTCGTTACCCGTCACAGTGCGGAGCTGGCAGGGGGGGCAGCAGGATGGGGGGGGGCAGAGACCCCTGGGGACCCCTACAGGGGTCAGGGGGACCCAGGCACTCCAGGGGTGCCCTACTCCCTCCCCAATGGTGGGCTCCAGGGGTGCCCCTAACCCAAGGGTGTCCCTATGCCCCCCACCCACACCCCAGGAGAGTATATGAGTGGCACCCCTTCATCCCATTTTGGGGGTTCCTGTACATGCTGGGCGCTGGGGTCCCCTTCTCCATGGGCTGCATCTAGGAGGATCCCTTTGATGCTCGGACCATTATGGAGAGCCCCATGTCCCCAAGGCTGTGCACTTGAGGCACTCCCACATCCAGAGTCTGGGGTCCCAACCCACTCACATGGATGACGTTCTTCTTGCTGGAGAGGTCACGGGCCCAATCCAGGGCAGCCCCCCGCAAGTCCACGCTGCTCTCGGGACAGCTGCTGGCAGGGCACTGGGGGGGCACAAGGCATCACAAGTGTCCTGTCCCCCTTGTGTCTCCACAGCACCCCATATTCCTCCACAGCTCTCTCTGCCTGCTGTCCCCACTGTCCCCCCCATACCTCCCCACGCTCTGGCATGCCCCCACACTCCCAGCCCACCCCCGTGCCCCCCCCACTCACCCAGGCAGTGGGTGCCGGCCCCTTGGACTCCTTGTAGAAGATGAGGCTGTTCCCGGCCAGCACCACCCAGGAGACCCCCCAGCTCTTCCTGGGGGCAGCAGGTGAGGGACACCCCCAAACCCTCCCCAGCCAGGGCTGGGGGCAGGTTTGGGTGCCCCCTGCCCTAGCAGATCCCCACACAGGCCCCAGGCATCATTTGGGCGCTGGCAGCACCCCAGATCCGCTCCCTCACCCCCAGCCTGGCACGGCCAAAAGTGCCTTTGTGTGCCAGGGACATCGCTTGTCTGGAGCCCCTCAGCTGTGAAGAGTCATGGGCCAGGCTGGACCCCCCCCCCCCAGGCTGGAATGCCCACCCCCAGCTGGCACAGCCCCACCTGGCATAAACTCGCCCCTACCCAGGCTGGCATGGCCCCCTCAGCTTGGCAAAACCCCTCTGCTCAAGTGGGGACCCCCCAAAAATCTGGCATGCCCCCCCCAGACTGACAGAGAGCCCTTGCTTCAATATGAGCCTCCCCAAGCCTGGCACAGCACCCCCTGCAGGGATCCCAGCCTGGCACAGCCCCCTGCACCAGGACCGACCCCCCCCCCCCCCGGGACCCCAACCTGTCACAGCCCCCCTGGAGCAGGACCACAGCCCCCTGCCACCGGGAACCCCCTCCCAGGACCCCAGCCTCGCCCAGCCCCCTCCCCACCCCAGCCCCCACCTGAGTTTCCTTCCACCCTCAGCGATCTTGGTCCTGTTGAGCTGCCCGGCCTTCTGCACCTCCTGTGAGGACAGGATCAGTGCCGCCCCTGCTGCCCCCCCGCAGCGCCCCCTGACCCCCGACGTAACTCACAGTGGGCAGAGTGGGGATGCAGGGCGGGGGCTGGGCCGGGGCCAGGGAGGGCTGGGGGGCTGCTGCCTGGTCCTCCAGGCTGTGGTGGGCGAGGGTCCGGCCGTGGCTCACCTGCTGTGGGGGGAGAGCATGGGGGGGCACAGCCCAGGCCCTCTGTGGTGCCCCCCCCATACCCTTCCCAGTGCCCCCCGTTATCCATCCATGCCTTGATCCCCCTCCCATACCACCCAGTGTCCCCCCATCCTCCCTCCTCTCCAGCCCCCTCCCATCCTGCCCCCCTCCCTGTGCCCCTGTCCCGGATCTCACGGTGCCACCGGGAACCCCAGCATCCCTGGAGCTCCAGCGTGCCGTGGTCCTGGGGGGCTCGGCGGGGGGGGGGCCGCCCCC